CAATATTCAGAATGCGAATTTCTGTAAGTTCATAATTATTTGATTAAACAGCTTGCTGACATTTGTTTTTGGATGTATGATAAATTGATTTACATCGTTCGAACTTGTTATTTTTATAGACCTCAATCGCAGATTCGTGATAAGGTTTTCTCAATTCAGAATTTTTTTTCCACGTCCTGTATGATGGAAATCAATTTTTCATACATTCAGATAACAGTGGTTATGTCAACAAATAATATAATTCTCAGATGTCAGTTCGTTATAGTTTTAGTTATATTATAGGGAGATCGAAATTGTGTATATCATGAAGAATGACTGAAAGAATAATTGGACTTCAGGTTACTGAAGAGGATTTGATATCCGAAATGAGTTTTACTCGAGTGAAGTCATATTCCAAGCTCATCAAGATCAGAGTTCATACAAGTATACATTTCAATTTCCATTTTAGTACTGAACATATTGGTAAGTTATATTTTTATATCATAATACATCATATTATTCTATTCGATTTGAGAGATGATGTTGATTCTCAATTTCAGAGGAATTTGATCTTTCATGCTCTCTTTTTGGATATTCAACAGATATATCATTCAATGTTCGACGTGGCAAATAGCCAGGAAAGTAGTTGTTTTCTGTTGAATATTCAGAATTATATTATATGCATATCTTCATATGCAGGAGAATGCAAATTCTCTACCTCATAAGATTTTGTTTTCGAATTCTCATCGTGTGTGTTCAAAAGATGTAATTCAATATTCGTCGTGGCATACAGCCAGGAAAGTAGTTGTTTTCTGATGAATAAACCGTGAAAGGATTGATATTTTCATCACATGGAGAATGCGAATTTTCAATAATGTATTTCTTTATATATATATATATCCATTTTTTTTGTGTTCATACATATATCTGAGAATGTTCCTTTTCAATCTTGCTAACAATTCTGTCGTGGAACTGCTTTTCCCTCTCGACATATCATCCATTGATGTGACATCACAAGTGTCGTCATCAAAGCGATACTGACCTCTATTTTTTCACCAATTTCAGAGGCTCCAGCATTGATTGGCCAACAGATGGAGTAAATGAAGAATATATTATGACAGCATCTCAAGCAGCGAGCAGCTTGATTATAGTTACTTGAAGAATTCCATTCAAACATTTCATGATGTTTATAATTAAAATAAAATATCTCTTTCATTCATATTGAGGCTCCATACTTTCATAAAAGTAGATACCACACAGTAGTCGCCAAATTAATATAGTTAGACATTTTTTCAATTCCTTTATTGGACAAGACATCATAGTCCAAGAAGCAGCTGCAAATTTCGACCGTCATCTGATAACGGAATGATATATGTCCAAAAGGCATGTGAAAACATTGTAGTTTATTGCACCTGTGCATCAGCTATTACTCCATTATTTTCAAATCGAAATATTCCGAAAACGGAACATAGTATCGAGTTTCACCAGTAGTACCTTTTTGGTGTAAAATTGAATGACGTTCAAGTTCATATCATATTTGGATTGGAAAATATAACCTCAAAAAAGCTATGTTCTAAACTACTCGGTATACGAAACCTGTAACTAGCGCCTTCTATGAGAGTCAGATTTGAAAACAAATTCATGTGATGTGTCAGATTTCAAGAAACATCCATACAAAATTTCATCACAATGTTGCCAGTAGTTTCGACATAATCGTGAACAATGTGTAAAAATAGTTACTTATTATACAAGGGAAAAAAGTAGTAGATTTTAGCTCCAGGTTGTGTTGCGCGTAGCGGAGGGAGACAAAAAACCGTGAGCTAAAATCTAATATTTTTCCCGTGTGTAATACACTATTTTTTTCTGTGACAGAAGGAAGGACGAATCAATATTGAGAAGATATTACATTATTTCGAAATCTGAAAATTATCGACGTGAAATTTCAAGTTTTTAACAGTAGGGACACCTGCGTTTTATAGGCATCTTTATCATTCTTTTGAAGTAATCAAATATCTGATGTCACTTCTGACAGTTCAATTTTGTGATTTGATTTAAAAAAATTGAGAATTCAGTAGTTGTTTAGTAATATACGAAACCGCGAAGTGGAATGGAAGATAAAAGGACTTGCAGTTCTTTCTCGGAGACGGTATTATTGACTCATTATTCGGAACTATAGCACAACAAAAGCCATTAACAGAGTATATATATGTGATATATATCCGGGAAAAAAGTACTCACTTTTTTCCCACGGGAAAAAAGTAATTTATGAAAAGTGACATTTTATAACCTGCCAACAGAGATGAAATGCCAAACTTTTTTCCCGTCACAGAAAAAAAACATTTTTTCAACACCTTGTATCATGAAGACGGATGACCTTACGACATTTTTTCACTGAGCAAACCCAACTTATTTTGCAGTGTTCTACCTAACCTAGCAAGGGGGTTAGGTTTTTTGAAACACCCTGTATATGTTTAGTAAGTATTTGTCTAGCAATTTCACTTTCAGAAAACCCAGAGAATTTCGATCGAAATTCATAGCGACACCTTGTTTAGAGAAATATTCGATGAGGAGGAATATACAGGGTGCCCGTAATTCGAGCTTAAGCATGGGGATCTCGGTTATCTTGAGAGATACGATGCTGTTAAAAGTAGGGCAAAGCTGCGCATTCTGGTGCAGAACAATAATCTGGAAAAAAAACTGACCTATCTTTCTTAGTTTTCAAGATATCGCCGAAAAACTGAATTATGCGATTTTCATTTTTATTTTTTTATAGGAAAACCTATCAAGTTAGTCATTTTCAACCGAAACTTTCTCAAAGCAGTTTTTTGCAAGGAATTCGAAAATTAAATTTTTTTTAACACACGAAGAAAGAAACAAACGACAGTCAACTTTTTTTTTCCTATGGACGCCATATTGAATTTTCAATTTAATTTAATTTATTTTCTGAATACAGTTTTTTTTCCGACGATGTATACTACACAACATGTTTTGGTTTCATATCATGGTCGAAATTTCTTAATTAACATTTTTCCGAAGATTGCTATATGGAAACAAATTTGTCGAATTTGTTGATTTCGAATTTTGACAGTTCAGGACAGTTTTAACAATGATGGAAGAAAGATATGGTGCGCGCATTCGGTCATTATTACGTATTGAACATTTCAGAAAAATCACTCGACCGCCTTCTATGATTTCTCTACGTCATAACGAGCGAGACGTTGATTCTGCATTTTCCCGCTAGATGGTAATGCTGCTATTGCTGCTGTGACTAGTGAAAATAAAATGGCAAATGGCATATTTTTGGTACGCGGAACATTTATGTAACAGTGGGATTATTCAACTCTGAATTCGAAAAATTTGCGACAATTTCAAAACTGACAGATATCATAATTGTGCAATGTCGCCATCTATTAGAAGATCGACGGAACCATTGCTCTCACTGTTCTCGATAGGTCGAGTAAAATTTCTGAAACAAAAGCGCATCAGTGATTACACCATATCTTACTTCCATCATTGTTTCAACGCTAGAAGTTCACTCTTTTAGATTGCAAAATGTCATTTTCGAATGAAGAACAGTGTTGCCAGAACTTTTTTTGCAATTGTAATTATTGTACCAGTCCATGATACAATTCCTTGCATCATGGTACCAATCTAAGTGAAGAAAATGTACCACTTTGTACCACCACCTTGCCTTGCCTTATCACTTGAACATGGCCACACAATACAATTTTTTTTTATAATTCTCTCTTTCTCAAGATTATGGTTCTTGCTATCCATCGGCGCATTCGACTACTATTTTACTTATGAATTATGTTATAGTTCTGTGTCTGTGGAAATGAAAAGTGAAAATGCAAGTGCCAAAATTGACCAGTTAAAAAGACTGAAGAAGTGACAAGAATGACAAATTATACGAGTGATGACCAAAAAGTAGATGCTGTGATCACAAGTGATGCCAATGCTGGACATTCCATATCAAAACACGCTCGATGTTCGTGATTTCATTTTGTACCACTTTTTGGACCTTTACGGAAATGTAGTACCACTGTACCTTTTTCACAAAAAACTACCACATGTGGTATAATTTACCATTTCTGGCAACGCTGATGAAGAACAGAGAGATAATAATATGTTGACAATTCATTTTTTTAATTATCAGTTAAATGTGAACTAAAACAGTTTTAATCTTCTCCTGAAGATGCTAACATAGTTAGCGAAACACGTGTCGAGGCGTTAAAAAAATCGGTTTGGTTAGTGGTAAAACAGTGTAGTGTATTATCGTGCCAATGGTTCCAGCCTTCGATATAAAATTAGTGTAGTGTTTGCTTCTGCACCCGAATAACGTAACAATACGAAATACGTACATACGTTCACGACGAGAAGAATTGAAAAGTGCTATCAGTTATTTTTTGTACTGATAGTGAGCCATAGAGCTGTCTGACGTCTGACGCCCACACTGAGAAACTTTGCATTGAGGTGAGTGCGCTTGTATCAATTTTTTTCTTCGTATTGATTTTTGTATACGTGTGAATTGAACAGTTTTCATGAAATATCTCTCACTCGTTTTGATATTGACTGATGCTTTCAATTACTGAAATTCAAATTCAGTTGTGAGTAATCAGATTTTATCAAGACAAACTCATTATGCTATGTTTGTAGTAAACAAGATACACAATCTGAATTTCATATTTTAACAACTCTCTTTCCACTAATGTCATGTGGAAGTTACAAATGTTTAATGATTGAAAAAATCAAGTTCTACGCAATGAATGATATTCATCACAATCATGATATGGGTTTGATTGGCCGATAATATGCTTTGCCAATTAACCGAATTTGAGTGAAATCTCATCAGCTGTTTTGAAGTAATGAAGCAAAAATGACTTGATAATTGTAACTTCAGAGCCGCCTACCGTCAGAAATATTAAAGCAACTCTGTACTGAGGTAAGTTTGCTTGTATCGAATTGTTTTTTGGTCTGAGGAATATGTGATAAGTTTCTGTAAAGACCTTTCAGGGACACGCTGAATGTGCTGAGATTTTGTACAGACCTCTCATCAGGGACACCCTGCAAATCATCGAATACCTATAGTAACCAAACTCTTCTCGAAGTGTCACAAATCCTGTCAACGAATTTCACATCAAAATTAATGTAGAGATAATAATAATAATCAGCTAGAAACAGCATGAAATCTCAGTGAAATAACAATGTCGTTCATTTTCTTCCGGAAGCGTTGCAAACGCGTGAAACCGTCCGACTATTGCAATAAATCCAAACAGAAGAAAACACGATCATCAAGATCAAGAAGTTCGAAATCGCAAAAGTGTTCCTCTAGAAGCACCAAGAAGAAGAGATGCGCGAGGCCTGGTCGAGTGACGAACAACCCCTTCCTCAATTTTCTCAGGGAATTCCGGAAAAAGCACTGCGGTTGGTCCATAACCAAGGTGGCAGTCGAAGGAGCCAAGGCTTGGTGCGCCATGGACCCGAAGAGCAAGGAGAAATACTACCGCGAGGCTTGCGGCCAGATGGGGAAGAAGAGGAACAAAAGCAAGTCGCGGCGGATCAAAGTCAGATCAGGGCGGGGTAAAGTCAGGTCAGGGCGGGGTAAATGCAGGTCAGGGCGGAGTAAGGTTAGATCCAGGCGGAGTAGAGGCAGGTCATGCGCACCGTGTGGCACAAAAAGGAAGGGTAGATCCTCTAGACGAAGTGGAATGAAAAGGAGTAAATCGTCTAAAAGTAGTAAAGGTGGATGTCCGTGAAGGTTTAATATCAAAATCTAGTGGTGTCAAAGTAAATCTGTTGTGTATCAGGGGATATTGAAATAAACTTCTGCATTATTGAAGGAAATGTTGCTTCATTGAGTTATATTGCTGCACAGATAGATCCATATTATTTACTCAATGTCCCAGCATCACAGTTTATTTCAGAAGATACAAATTCATATGTTTTATATGATTCGATGTAAACTCGTATTCACTCGTTACAGTTAGCGCTTTTCTGATAAATGGTTAAAATAGATAGTATGTATGTATGTATGTATGTATGTATGTATGTATGGGTGTGGGCGGTCCGGGACCTGACGCACTTAGGCCTCCCTTTTCGGGCCCATTGTGCACCCACATTCCTGGGATCGCAAGTCAGCCATGGAGAAGGCCGATCTCGCGAGCAAAAGAGACCAACTTCCTAGGCCAAATCTTCTTAACATCCTCTGGGTCCAGGATACTGCTCCCAAAATGGATATCCCTTGCTGCCACTATTGCCGGGCATTCAGTGAGGATGTGAGTAGAAGTCTCTTCATCCTCTAGGCACCATCTGCATTCTGGATCCTCCACAATCCCGATCATGCTGAGATGTTTGTTCAGGTGGCAGTGCCCTGTCAGCAGGCCCACCACCAGTTTCAGCTCCTTCCTATTCAAAGCCAAGAGGGCATTGGTCTGTCTTCGTGACGGGTTTCCTATATGGAGTTTGGACTGCCTCAAAAATAGATAGTTTAACCAGGAAAAATCTACTAAACTTGACCGAGATTTCTAAAATTTTCCATCTGCTACAAAAACGCTGATATACCGATATCGGGAAACATTTAGAGAAATTAATATACATGATGGGTTCTTACTGGTCCATCGGATATTATCTTCAGAGGGGGCGAAATATTGTCGGAACTATTGATGACAAGGCAAAGAGGACTAACCTACTATTCTTTGGCCAAGGCTCAATGGTGTTTCATGCCTTTATGGGCCCGAAGAGCAAGAAGAAATTATACCGCGCGAGGCTAGCTGCCATCACATGAGGAAGAAGAGGGGCAAAAGCAAGTCTTGGCATAGCAAAGTCAGATCAAAGCGGGGTGAAGTCAGGTCAGGACGAAATAAAGGCAGGTCATGAGCCCCGTACCCCGTACGACATTATGGACGTTCTGGAAGGGAGAGGAGTAAATCGCTTCCAAGTAAGGGTGGAAGTATTCGAAAGTTTTTTATCAAAATGGAAAGGATGTCGAATTAAATTGCTGCATTATCAAACAAAATGTTGCTTAATATTTATTTACTATGCTGCACAGACGATTGAATATTATATACCGGATGTCCCATATCAGTATACCTATTCCAATTGAATACTGTAAAACGGGGTGAAAGGAACTTGATGGGCGGTGAATAGAAACGAGTTTCTCAAACTTCAAATCCTATGTGGTTTACACATTACATCGAGCATTACATATAATATGTGGCAACATATAAATTCAGTGAATTCTACTGATTTGCCATTTAGTCCAACCAAATGGTATTCGCACGAAGAAAAAATTCAAGTAGTCGATTTTTCGGCGGTTTTCAGTGGTCCTGAATCCGATAAATCTGAAGTTTCGCATACTTTTTTCAATTTTTTACCCTTTTCTCGGGAAATATATACAGAGGCTCTGATTTACGGTGGAAGGCACATTAGACGTTTCGGGAGAACGTAACATGGGATTATTCTGAAAATCTCATGCCTTAGATGATCATTTGTGCTCTATCGACCTAAAATATTCTCAGCGCTGCGACGTTGCCGCTTATATTGAAAAGTAGCAACAACTTTAATTTTTTGAATGGGACAACATGTATATTATTCCATTTCCAGATTCTCCCTGAAGAGCTGATTTCATTGAGTGTATAACACTTAGGGTCTAGTAGTGATCGACAATTTTATTACTTTCAACTTTATAAGATTTTTTTGTGTCGAAACTATTCATAATTGGTCAAAACGGTTTTCATGTCCCTATCTCAATTCTTCATTCACTATCAATTGATATTTAATTGAAATAGCTACAGGGTGCGGTTCAGAATTAAGATTTTCAACCACCCTGATGCTCTGTATCTATTCCAACTAAATATCAATTGATAGTAGGTACATAAAAAGTTGAGACAGGTACGTGAAAACCGTTTTGACTAATTATGAACAGTTTCGACAAAAAAAAATCTCGAAGTTGAAAAATCTCGATTTTTTACATCCTATATCTTTGTTATCATTCCCGCTAGACCCCAAGTGTAATAGATCGATGCAAACAGCTCTTTAGGAATAAACTGGAAATGGAATAATATATATAGGGTGTCCCATTCAAAAAATCAAAGATGTTGCTACTTTTCAATATAAAAGCGGCAACGTCGCAGTGTTAAGAATATCTTAGGTGGATAGAACAAAACTAATTATCCAAGAAACCAAATATCCAGTATAATCCAACGTTGCGTTCTCCAGAAAAGTTTAATGTGCCATTCACCGTGGATCAGCCTGTATACAATAGCGAAAAGATCACGTTTTAAATATTTGAAGAATTTGAAGATGCATTTTTTTCATATATAATTGCTCCTGCTCATGAATTTAGGACTACCAAACGGGTGAGGAGCTAGAGCAGCTTGAAAATAAGAAAAAATTTGCGTATTTTGCAAAAAATAGTGTTCTTCGTGATTTCTCGTAGATAATTCAATTCATAATCTATACCTACATACTGCCAACCGCAAGGTTGGTAGAACTGATGATAATTTGTATCGTAGCCAACCACGCCAACCTCGGTACGCCAACCGCAATACTTACCTCATCTGGCGGTTGTTCCGCACACTATAAGTCTTTTCACTCTGTAATTCCTATATACTCAAGTCCCAGTAGCCAGAGGTAAGTCACGATCTCTGCAGTAGCTGCTTTTCAGTCAGCGCTCTGCTGCTAGGTGGTTCTCAATGTTTGGAAAAATCTACCAAAGAATTCTAAAATTTCAGATAAGAAACCAGATATCGATTCGATATTTTTGAGTTACGTGTATATTTATATCTATGGAGTTACTAATGTGTCTAATGTCTCTTCGCTGTTTTTTCCGTCAACACCAATCTGCTAGCAAAACGCTCAATATTATATGGATCTTTTGCCACATTTACAAATTATTTACAAAATATGAAGATAAATAACTATCCTTCTTTATTCAAAGCAAATAGAAGTTTATATTATATTAGCCTTCCATCCGATCAAGCGCAGTACTGATAATGAACCATGAACCTCTAAAATAAAGATTGAGTTGATTGTATTTCGAAGCCATCATAGTTTTTCAGTATTTCAGTCCTGTCCTGAGACACTCGTTGTGCGCTCTGTGAGTTCGTTAGTTGAAGTTGACAGCGATTGACTGGTATAACTGGTTTGTTGTTTTGTGGTCATGAAATGAAAAAATCTGAAATCCTGAAATGTGAAATGAAATGAAATCAGTCAAATTTTGCGAGCGAAAGCGAAGTAGTTGAGTGGTTGCTGCTGCGACAAATTTTCATCCCAGTGCCTTTCCCGGTGATAATTTATTAGAATACAATGGCTGATGAAGTGGCTGAAAATGGACATGGTGAAAATGGCCATGCTGAGAACGGAGATGTTCCTGAAATCGAATTAATCATTAGAGTGAGTTTGTTTTTTGCTGGGTGTGACAAACCTACATAATATTTGCATGAGAATTAATTATTATTACTTATCATTCGAAGAAAATTGTATTTCCAATTATTATTTCAGCTGTTCTCTAAAGATTAGATAAAAGATAAATCGTTAGTAAACTTTACAGCTTAATAGACAATCATTTTGATTTTTCAGATGGAAACTTGTTGATTCTACATTAGGCATTTTTTCCTTCTATTTTCTTTGTCCAACCTTGAATTATAATTCCTTTCAACAAATATTTGTGGAATTGGAGCAGATCAGATAGAATCCTAATCAAATAGATGAAATCAATAGATATTCCATGTCATCATCTGAGAGCAGAATTAACAGCAATAACACCTCCCTCTCTCTTGAGATTTGGTTTAGTATTCAGTAGGTAGGTAGGTACCTTTTGTGATTTGGTAATTTGTATCCAGCTTTACCCTTGTTTCTACCCATTGCAATTCCAAAATCTAGACCAAAATTGATCGCATTACTACTTGTGTTACAACTACTTAAGAAGTCTTGATTTTGCTATGATTCTCTGATAATTGTTGTTTGCTCCTGGTTCCTCTTCCTTAGTTCATTCTTTTTTCAAAAATGTTAGAGGAACTCAGCATTTTGTTGTAGAATCTTGAATCTTATCTAATTAGATCTTCTCTAGGTAAGGTAGGTAGATAGGTATATATGAGTATGTAAGTAACTATATGCCCATAGGGTACTTGAGGAGATGTCTTTATAATTTCAAAATAAACCATGCAGAGTATCAAGCCTAGTACCATAATAATTTCATTTTTCAAGGTAATATTTTCCAGAATACCATCATCAGACTCACAGGCACTGGCTGGTTTACCTACTAGATCTCTTGACTAGTAAAATTATGAGGGTAGATGAGTCTGATAATTAGGTAGCATAGAATAAAATGCATCTAGAAAATAGGTACTTGCCTACTCACATAATAGCTGGCATAATAGAGAGACATTGAATAAATTAATAGTTTGTGTTTGAAAGGCAATAGTCCTCAAATGCCATGTGGCATATAATCTTGCACATTACCATTTCTTATTTCCATAGAATACCTACCTACTCATCTACACATACTCTAAAAAACCAGCTTCAAACATAGTTTTCATGGGGTTTTTCATTCTATTGGAGGATCTATTTTAAATGATTTTAAATAATAAATTTCAGATATTTTCATCAATGACCAAGGTAGGTAGTATCTATTTCGAAAATACCTACCCCACCAGTGTCCATACTAGACTTCAGACCTCACTTCTACCAAAGTTTACAGAATGAAATTGGTTTGGTGTAGGTCAAGGTGTAGTTTATATCAAACGACCTCAGAGCAGAACATTTTCCTCTGATTTTTCATCATTTTAGTAATGTTTCTTATTTATATCATTGAATAGCTTGTAATACCCTGTATAGTACATATAATAACAAACAATGCAGCGATTACATTTATTTTTATTTATTTATTTATTATAGGTAATTCAACAGAACATAAGTTCCAATTACAGAATTACGCATTGTGACAATATTAATGCGTGTGGTATAATTAATAGGTACATTAAAACTGACTAATAACTAATAACTAATAATTACATTTTGTATCTGAGTAGTAGGTAACTAGTATGAAACTGAAGTAGAACGAAAACTAATAGTAAATTAATCTATAATTTGAAAACATCAAGAGCCATTTTTTTTACCCGAGCGGCTGTGTTACAAAACAAATCTATGTGAGAGAAATAAAGATTATATAATTCTTGAATTGACATCACAGGTGAATTTTTTGAATAGTTGGTATTTCGGAAGCTGGTATAAAATAAATGAGGAGAACGAGTGGCATGGGGCTTTATACTGAAGTTGAGACTGCTCAATAAGTATGGACTATCTACTTGATTATTGACTATTTTAAAGAGGAATCGTACGAACGAGACCAATCTCCTAACGGACAGTTTGGGTATATTATAATACTTGAGACTCGTTTCATAGTTTTGAAAGTGCAGTTGTCTATTGAATTTAAAGTTCAAGAAGTTTACAAATTTCTTTTGTACCCTCTCAATCCGATCGATATATTTATAATAATGTGGGTTCCAGATAATGCTGGCGAATTCAAGATGGCTACGAATTAGTGAGTTGTATAAAATAATTAGAGACCTATGATTCGTGAAAGATTTTGTGATTCGCATAATGAATCCCAAATTGCGCAAGGATTTTTTTAGAATGGATTCAATGTGATTTTCAAAAGTCAGTTTAGAGTCCAACAAGATACCTAAGTCTTTTATCAAGTCAACTTTTGCCAAGTTGTTATTGTTAATAGCATATGGAAAGTCTATGGCTTTACATAAGAGTTTCTCAAAGGATGAACAGAAAATCACAGTTGAGTCATGCCAGTCGTTTGACCAACAATGATTTAAAATGCGAGAGATTAGCGAGATATAACTTGATGACCCTGACACACAATGCAATGCAATACTCTGATGAAGTATTAAAATAGTAAGGTAAGAACCGTTTTATATAGGAGAGTTAATCCATAAGCCATCTAGAATTTGACTTGATATTAGTTGATTTAATTAAATGAAATGAAGTTATATTTTAG